CATAAAATTAAACAAAATATAACCAAAATTACACATAAAATAATAAATAAAATAGTAAAAAAATATGATTGTTTTGTGTAAACTTATCTTTTTTCCTTTCTCTCTCCATATCCAATCACTTGTATTACACATTGAAATTAATTAAATTATAAAGGCGAAATTCACAAGAATAATCCTTGCTTTTATAAATTCTACAATAATAATTTCTACTAAAAGTGTCCATAAATATAATCCGTTCTAGCAATAGTGTTCACAAAAATAAATTGAAGTGAATTCAAACTCATGCTCATTTACTACTCCTACCCTTACTTCCACTTTTCCCTTCACCACTTTTCGCCTCGATTAACAATTTTATGTTTCATCCTAAATAGAACCACATCTGGGGAAATGATTTTAAGATTAAACGAGTTTTAGTTTGAATTTGCTCTGGGAAGAAGAGTGGAGAAGAGAAAAGTGAGAATAAAAGTTGAGAGTATTAAAAAAACATTAATCTAAATATACCTAATTTATTCTTATGAACATCATTGCTAGTTCGGATTACTTTTTGCACATACTATGAGTAAGGATTATTATTGTAGAACCCTTAAAAGTAGAAATTATTCTTATAGATTTCACCAATTATAAGTATGGTTATAATTTAAAAAAAAAATCAAACAAAGTACGAAATCCAATCAAGTTTAATTACAAAACAGAAAAATCACTACTGCAGTGTTTTATTACACTAAATACTAATCATTCAACTGCAATTGAATCAGGAAGCGTAGTGCTTGTTAGTGAGAGTTTGACTTTCCATTTTTGGTGCTATTTTGATTTTGATTTCTTACCATTTCCGCAATGAAAAGGTAGTGCTTGTGAATCCACAGTTATCTGTCACTCCCAGTCTCATAAATTTTAGAGTCCAGAGATGATGATGGCTCGTTGAAAGTTGAAACTTTACTCTTTATTGTGAAACAGAAGATTAAGAATGACAAAAAGATCTGAACATATTGCAATATGGAATACAAAAAAGTAAAACGGAGTAACATCTTCAAAAATTCCTTTTTTACTCTTTCTTATACACATCAGTACACCCTCGTGTGTGTGAGAGTTTTCTCAATAAGTGATTTTGTAAAAAATCAAAGAGAAGAAAATTTTGGTGGAGTGTGTTATTTTTATATAGTATTATATGAAAAAACTATTTTCTCCAAACTTGATTATTTTACAGGGTTGGGTAGTACTTACTTAGTTCTAAAGCTAATTTTTGTTTTTATTTTGTCTGTGAAAAATTCTACATACAAAACATGCTTGTTTTTATTTGTGGACTGAGATTCACAGATAAAAAAAAAACCTCACAGACACGAATGTGTACTGATGTGTATAAGAAGGTGTACACCAAGAATATTAGAGTTAAGTTTACTTTTTCCATCAGCATCCGTGCCATTGACGTGAACAAATAAATATTACGAACACTTAAATATATACTCTCTAATAAAATACTCTCTTCATCCATAATTCTTCTTGGTTTGACTTGAATTGGAGAATTAGAAAACGAGAATAAGTGAAAATGTATCGTTTTGATTGAGTAATAAAAAAGAAAATGAATGTTAGACAAACGAAATTTTCCAAAAGGGAAACTATAAGAATTTTTTGGGACGTTCCAAAAAAGAAAGAGAAACTCTAAGAGACGGAGGGAGTATGCTACGACCTCTATAAGTTTTGGTTTTCTCACAACTTCTTTCTACGAGTTTTCATATTTTGAAAAAAATGTCACGAATTCTTACAAAACACATTGTAAAACAATTATTACAGAATTCCATCTTGATAACAGTTAACCAAAATAAAAAAACTAATAAATTCTTATAATTAAAATTGTGAAAAGGATACTCTAAGGAGTAATTACCAAGCTGAAATATAATACAGATTGGAAAATCGAATCTCATAATGTAATTGCATACTTAGGGGTATTTTGAATTGATTCCGCTCCTGCTTCTTTTTTTTTTAAATGTAGAAACATAACAAGTTTTTAGAACATGGTCTCCCCCATCTTTTAAAAAACTGCCTCTAGGAACATTTTGGAGCATTTAGAAGTACTTCTACACTTTCACCGAAACACTTCAATATTTGCATATACTTCTTAAAATAGTAGATATAGTTTTAGAAAGTAGATCCAAATACCCCTTACTCAACCCTATGTGTTTTCAAGTTTGTACATATCACTTCTCAATTGTCCAAATTGTTGTAAATGAGATCTTCTGAAGGGTGACATGTACAATGTGAGCGAGGACTATATTTACACCAATTGGGCATTTGAGAGGTTACATTTACACACTTGGTAACACGGGGTAATATTTCAATATCGGTACTATTTGATGGACTCAAAGTGTGATTTTCCCTAAATAAAATCATTGTTAAAACATTACTCTCATTCATCAAGAAAAGACAATATAACCAAGTTTTTAATACAAAAACAAATAGTACAAATATTAGAGATTAATAATTAATATACAAACTTTGTTATAATATTAAATTCAAGGTAAAAAATATGACATATACTATTCTAAAATTATAAATACGTTTCACCGTGTACTAGAATCAAAGTTAAAGTGAGAAAAATCTTACTCAAAAGTCAAAACTTTGATGTTACCTAACAAGACTAGATATTTAGATTTAAGTAGCTATACAAATTGAGATTGGTTATGACGCTTTAATGTTAAACACAATGATAAGCTTCCATACTTCTTTTAATTAAAGAGTGTGCTTTGAATTAGTGTTGCCTAAGCAAGTCCTAGTACTGATTATATATATGAGATAATTCCCTAGGAGTAAACAATAAAAAAAGTGCAAAAGTAGGACTTGATAGTGTTGTGCAGTTATGTAGGAGTAAAGGTTTATGAGTTGACTAATGTACCCTTAATGAAAATCTTAATTTCTATATCAAAAATATAAAATGAAATAATACTCCGTAATTTAAAAGCAGTAGACACGCAATGGGCAGGCAACCTATTCTTTGTGCACGACTACCAAAGCGAGAAATCATTGTTGCACCATTTGCTATCGTTATTTTCACCCAGTCACCAGGGCCGTCTAATGAATTCGGAGGCCCCGGTTTCAAATGTAAAATCGAGGCCCCACATTAATATAAAAAAGTATCAAAAAAAATTCAATCAAAATACATATACTTAAATTAATTGAATACTCATTAAATAATGAAATAAAAAATTTCTAAAATTGAATTAATATTTGATTTAAAGCAACACAACTCGTTATTCAAGCAATTTGAGTAAAGAAAACTAAAACGACCAACGGAAAAATGGTGGATCTATATTTTTCATCCTCACTAACTGTGTTTTACTGATCAGTATTAATATATGTAGTATAATATTATGGAGTATTATATAATACTAATAAAATTTTGAAATTTTGGGGCCCCGTAAATTTTGGGGCCCTGTTCTGGATAACCTATTGAACCCCCTAAAAAACGGCCCTGCCAGTCACCATCGCCGCGATGTGGGCACCTCTACCGCCGACACGGCCGCCGTGGCCATTGATGTTGCTTGCCATAGCCGCCATCGTTATCGTTGCCATCATTCTGCTGCCGCCTCATTCGGCATCACTGTCGGATCGTGTGCCACTGCCTCCTCATCCCACGTCACCTTTGGCTCATCTGGCTCCACCTTTGGCACCATCATCATCCATCTCAAGCCTTGAAGAGAGTACCATAAAGTATGTCATCTGACAATTGAAATGCATCTTAATGCCACTTTAATGCAATTTGTACTAAAACAGAGGAGGCTAATTTTATTGCCATATTCATAGTTTCATGCATTATAAGCATATCATTGCAAAAGGAAATTTTTGTCATCGTGATGAACTTTAGTGCCACAGAGATAGCACTACGTTGTATATGAGATTTGCCATAAAAGTGGAATAAATTAAATCTTTTTGTCATAAAAGTGGAAAATATTGCTCTGTTGTAATGCCATGTTTTTGAAAGTTTTTTTGACATAGAATGTCATTTTTTATGAAAGTTTTTTGACATATAATGTCATTTTTATGACATTAAATGTCATTTAAATGGAAATAGTACTTCTAAAGATGTCATTATTACTCTTTAAAATGACATTAACAGTTTATATGGAAAACAACATGGAATTACAGAGTATTAATTTTGGATTTGCAGTGGCATGATAAAGCCATCTTAGTGGAGTCGGTGACATTTTAGCCTTTATTTTGAAATACGTAATATCTCCTTCTTAGTACCAAACAATTATTAAATTTTTTAATTGTTAATTGAAGTAGAATACTTAAAACATCAATTGCAGGTTGAATTAAAAAATCTAATTTGAAATTTATAAAAATATCGATTGAAATCAATTGTAAAATAAAATTAAAATTGTATAAAAAAGATGAAGGGAGGAGAACGAATTGTTGGAGAAGGATCGAACAGGAGAAGAATAGAAGAAAGAAAAGAAGAACAGAAGAGGAAGAAGAAAGGAAGAGAAAAAGAAAAAAAAGGAAAAGAGGAAGAACGGATGGTCAGAGGTCGGAGGAGGAAGAAGCAGACCGGAATTTACCTACGATGTTGCTACTCATTTATTGCCGGGAAGCTTTGAGAAATCAAACTTCAGCTGTAGATTGAGATGGAGGGGAAAGTGCTATATATGGCCACATAAGATACCAGAGATTGGGGATTTGAGGGTGTAAACGATGAGGGAAGAGAAGATACCAGAGATTGGGGGCAAAATGGGAAGAGGAAATAGGTGACTCGTTTTTTAACTCCTATATTGGGAATAAATTAAAGTGCGGTCCTATTTGAGAATTCTCCTAATAATTTGTTCCTTTTTAAGTCAAATACTTTATATATTTAGGCCAATGAAGAGGATTAATGCATTCGGTTTCTGAAAGGGCAAAATAACGAATGAGTGCTGGAATTAAGCTAAATCGATCCAATTCCTTCGATTGAAAATCTTTTGGAAATGTGCTCAAAGTTAGAGAGACTGTTCAATAATCCTCAGGTTAGACTTGGACTCCTTTGCCACACAGCTTGTTTCAACAGAATGCCATGCCAAATTTCACAAGACAAATAATCTGACCACACAAGTTCATCATTAAAATAAAGCATATAATGATGTGGGTAGAGAGGATTTACAAACTGGTGCAGTAAAATTATCTAAAAATTACTCTAAAGTTATACTTGGAAGTAATTTGGAAATAACTTCTATCACTCTTTTAACCATCAACTCTGCCCTTACCAAAGTACCAGTATCATTTTCAAATCTCTATGCATATTGAAAAGGCAAACTAATCACTGGCATAATGGAATGCAATCACTGGCAGCCCCCATGAGTTGAACTCCATGTTGCTCCACAGGCATAGCAAAATTCAAACTTACACCTGCATTAACAATTCGAACAGCGGACATGGTGAAGTTATTAGGGCGTGCAAGAATTCTTACGGAGTATTAGAACTTGGCTTCTCAATGTTGATGGCCTAACGTATTGAAAATATTGTCACTATAGTGTATATTAAGCATATAAACACTATTTTGTATAATATATTAGTAAAATTTTATTAAGTCTTGTTTAAGTTTTTCATTTTTAAAATGTATAAGCTTAGTGATATTTGAAACATACTTCTGCAAAAAATGGTGCATAACTATATAGTTATACTCCCTCCACCCACAAAGATTTGTCATATTTGACTTTTGGGTGATATGTTTTGACCAATGTTTTGAATCAATATATTTTAGTGAAAATATATAATTTTTAGCCAAGAACATTCTCACATCACTTTCACATTATAAACAAACTTGTATAATGATATATTATTGGTCAAAGTTTAATATATTGGACTAAAAAGTAAAATAATGTGAATTTTTATAAGATTGAGGAAGTAGGTTTCAATACACCTGAACAATCTTTTGCTTAATTAGCAGAAGACCCCTCAGAAATTTAGACAACAGATTCCTTATCCAACCTCATTCAAAATGACATCGCTTTGATCAAAACACCATTGTTTTTTAGTTACCAAAACAATGTCGTTTAAAATCAAAACGATGTAATTTCAAATCAAAACGGTATCGTTTACGTTAAACGGCATTGTTTTGACATTAGATTCTTAGGGATTTTTTGGGTCAGGGATGCAGGAGTGAAACTAGGTGAAAGCGCAACCTGCAAGTAATATGCAAGCACCCTTCAGTCTTATCAACATAGAATTTGCAAGAAGGGCATCTTCTCCAGCTCTTCTGCTTAGCCATATCCCTGACCATGATATCCTCTCTACCTCTTTCATCCTCACCGAGCTTCTGAAACTCCTCACACCCGACCCCAGAATGCCACGGCACGTTGCACTGAGCACAGAACAGCCTGTTGCAGAAAGGGCACTCCGATTCCCTGATCGTCCCACCGCTGTCATTCACCAGCATTGCAGAGCAATTCTTGTAGGGGCAATAGAATTTCTCCGAGGCCGGAATGATGGACTGGCACAAAACATAATCCCACCTGGTTAGCACATCCAGAGGGACAAAAGCCTTACAGGAATCGAATTCGAGAGAGGCAGAGCAATTCAGGCCCGGACATGTCACCACAGGGATGCTGTCTTGAACTCTCGTTTCCACATGCCTGCTGATACAAACCGTGCAGAACATATGGCCGCACCCATCAAGTCTGAACATTTCGTCCAAATCTTTCCTCTCCGTGCAAATTTCGCAGAACATTTGAGACGATTCGCATTTCTCTCCTACTTCTTCGACTTCCACTTCAGCCAATGCGGCGGCAGTCACCATTTTCATGATTTCTAGGGTTGACAGCGGCGGTTCGGGGGGACCAGAGGGTTGGGCGGCGGCGGTTGTTATGGAGGAAAGCAGGGCTTCTTGGAACTGCAACTCCTCCGCGTATTTAGCATCTGAAACCGGCGGGGAAGTCTGATCAGCGTCATCATTGGGGACGAGTGAGAAGTAGAAGTCGTCACAGGAAAGGTCAAGCGACGGCGGGGCTGACTGTTGGACTGCAGTCAAAGAGGATGATGCCATGTTCCTGAAAACCTTGGGAAATCCTGCAGCCCCTAAAACGAACAAGAAACCGGCAAATGCTTCCAGAATCTACATTAGTGGCGTGCAAATTGAAGTTGAAGTTGTAGTTTGGAGTTGGAGTCTCAGTTCCTGTTTCTCCGGATTAGTTTTATTTTCTTTCTATTAGTTTAATCAATTATTTTTATTTTTACACAAAAATCTTCCTCCCTCCGTCCCAGAAAATTCTTCCCACTTTGACTTGACACGGAGATTAAGAAAGTGAAATAAAGTGGAAATGTGTATGTAGATGTGTAAGAAAAAAGTGAAATGAATATGAACCACACAAATTGTTCAAAAATGGTAAGTGAGAAGATTTTTTGGGACGACCGAAAAAGGAAAGTGGGAAGAATTTTATGGGACGGAGGGAGTATATACTATAGAAATTACCCTAAATAGGAGTAAAAACGCTTTGAAATTCCAAAATAGGAGTATCACGTTTTTTATTCCTTTAATAGGAGTAATCTGTCAAGTTTGGAAAAAAATATCATGTTTAAAAGCCTAATAATTTCAAACTTGGCAGAAATTTACTCCTATTTATGGAATAAAAAATATGATAATCCTATTTTGGAATTTCAACTTTTTTACTCCTATTTAAAAAATTTACTCTATATACTACTCTGTGTCACCGTCACCGCGTTGAAAGTTTCTCGTACATTCGAGGGATTTTTTAGACAAATAGTCAAATAAAGTAATTTGTGTAAAAAGAGGCGAATAGAAAATTTAGAAAAAGTAAACATATAAAGTGATAATAAGTAGAGACAAAAGTTGATATTAATATAAGCCTTTTCCTGTAAAAAAAACAAAATTCTTATCATAAAAAACACAAAATTATTTAGATGATATTATAATATAGATAAAAGTGTCTTATAAATAAAACATGAGTAATCTTATTTATATATTTTATATATGTTTTAGTCCTATTTAGACTAATTTCTTTATTTTTAATATGCGTACCGAATTGTATAATAATTGAAAATTTGAAATAGGTAAGGTTCAGGCTTAGGATTACTTTTTTGATTAAATTAATTAAATTTATTGAAAAGCACTGTTATATTATTTTGGACGTGATTATTCTTTAATTCATTAATAAAATATATTTTGAATACAATTAATTTATAATTCAACAAATCCATTCATTTCATTCGGAATTTCTTGAATTTCAACCGAATCAATTAATTTTTTTGGTGTTATCAAACTGGCTCTTAACAAGTGCTTTCTCATGTTTTACTTTTAAAAGTGGAATTTGTGTTTTCAAGTGACATCTTCTATTTTAATTGAATGCTTTAATCAAAAGAAATGCACTCTAAATTTTTTTCAATTTTTAATTTATAGAAAATACCACCAGGTTTTTATGTTTCAGATCCATTTTTTACTCAAATACTACCAACTTTTATTATTAAATATTTTCTCCAAATCACTTTACAATAACACTTCTTAACGTAGTAGCAATGGCAAAACTCACTTAATTTTTATCTCCCTAATTCAAATAAAAAATAAACAATTGAAATCACATTAAATTGACTGTATCGATTGAATAAATAGAAATTTGTAAAATTGGACTAGAGAAACTGTATAGACTAAATCTGCTCAACAATGAAAGAATATGCTTAAAATATGCTACGTATTTTATTAATTAAATGAATGAAACAAAATTAAAAGAGTTTCTTTGACCATTTGGGTTAATTCAGTTGGAAAAAATAACTTACATTTTTCTTCTTTTAATTATAACATAGTTCAATGGGCAAAATCTAAAATTGTGTGATTGCTGAAAAATTAACTAACAAAATGACTCATAAACTGAAAGCGAAGGATACCACATGAGCTCTAAGTCTACCGTTATATATATGAAATGTGTACATTTTTAAAATTGCACGTTTGGTCCTACGAGTATCGCATCAATTCCACGATCGATCCACGTATTTGAGTTTGACTACTTTTAGTACATAACTTTTGTGTTTTCACCCATAAATGATCCTTATGACAATGTCTCCGGTGATTAAAATCGCTAGAGATAGTACGCAAATGGACAAACTCACAATGGTTAAAAACACCATTAGTCAAGGATCAAATTGATGAATTGACATAAAATTTGTGGGTTTAATGCACCAAATATAGAAATTCAGCGCATTAGCCTCATCTGATTTGAAACATGCGTCAAACCCCCTTGTGTTTTAATTAATCATGCACAAAGCCCCTTTTTATGAATAAATTTAACAATTTAGAAATCATTTTTCCTAATATTCTGATTGAATATGCAAGTAAATATGTCAAAACCTCTACATGATACAAAAATGTTAATCGTTTTTCTTTTATTTGACAATTGAATTTGTTCAGATTTTGTGCATAATTAATTAAAACACAAGGGGGGTTGACACATTTTTTAAATCACAAGGGGTTAGTGCGTCGAATTTCCATATGGACCATATCACAGGGGCATTTTGTGCATTAAACCCTAAAATTCATAGGACCAAAAGTGAAATTAATTCTTCATTTTCTTCTACATTCCTGTGTTGCACCCGTATCCACAAAATCCACTTATTGAGAAATAAGCCAATTGAAGGACAAAGCTAATCTTGTTTAGGAGCTGAAGATCAAAGTTTAGGATACTTGGAATATACATCATTGGTTAAAATTTTGTATGCGAATTACTTTTATTGATCGACCATAAGAATATGTGTGTGTACGACACGTCCAAAAAGAGGGGCTCAGGCCGCTTGTTCCAACCGTATAATCTTATAAACATGTACACGTAGATAAATGGAATTCAATTAATGAGTCGAGCAAGCCCTGTTATATACATTTTTCATGACAATACCAATCTCGTGCTCGTGCAAACAACGGATGAGATTAGGCCTGAAGTTTGGAAAGCTTGGCTCTCCTCATCCTCGAAGAGCTCGTTGAAGGCAATGGAGTTGTAATCGAGGGAGGGGAGGTGGTTGGATCTGTAACATCGGGCTAGCATGGATGATGGACATGGTAAGCTCCTTGATCTTAGCTATCTTAGAGATGTGATCGGGAGAGGTCGGTGGTGCTGAGTTTGTAGAGGATGTAGGCTTCGACCTTCTCAAGAACCGATCTGGGTGCATGATCGCATAGTCATTAAATGCCTTGAGCAACTCTTGAGTTGTTTCCTTGTTGTGTTTCACTCATCCCTCCTTAGCCTCACATGACCCTGGCACTAGTGGAAATTAGGGTTTTAATAACGGTTAAAACAGACATTTGATAACCGTTATGAACCGTTATGGTATCAGCACACATTAATAGTCTAGTACCTTTCATAAGGGTTCAGGTAACCGTTACAGAATGTATTTCATAACCGTTGAAACATTCAATATCGGTTATACATTTATCGTAACATCGAAAACATATCATTAATCATAACTAACAAAAACACACAATTTACGTCGATATTGTGTTACTCCAAAAATATTCAAAAAAGTTGTGAATTCATAATACTCAGCAAAAACTAATTATGAGTTCACTAACACTCACCAAAAACTAGTTATGAGTTCACAACACATACTACTACTAAATTAATACTAATATGCTATAAAATTCATATCAAATGTTCGTAGCTCCGCAGAAAATGACGCCCAGTACTCCCGTGCCTCATGATTTCTTAAGCAGTTAATGAATCTTGAATGTTAAAATGCTTACAAATTAAATAATGAAAGTAAATTAATCAAAACAAAAAGTGAAGTTAAAAAAATAGCACAATAACAATAAAAATGAAAAGTATATGTGAGAAAATAAGATAAAACTTACCACCTTCATCCATGAACAATCATAGCCATATGTCTTATAACACAGTATCTACACTCATAACCACTCGTTTGTGTTCGAGACTACAAATAAACAAATAAAAGTAAAATATTATAACACACAAGTCAATTACAAGTGCAATACCAAATCTAATCATTCTCTTAGGATGTTTTTACTTGGACTGTGATTTGTTGGTCTGGTCTGGTCTGGTTAGGTCTGGTCTGATCTGGTCTGGTCTGAAATTTTATTTTTTATATTTTTTGCACAAAGATTTTATTTTTTATATATATTATATTCCATAAATAATTATATTTTATTCATTTATAATTACAAACAACAACAACAACAATAATAATAATAATAATAATAATAATTAGGGGTGTGCACCATCCGGTTTAAACCACAAACCCGGACCGAACCGGACCGGATAAATCGGAACCGGATCAAATCGGAATGATATCCGGTCCGGTTCGGTACGGTCCGGACCAGTTTTGAACCGTTGCACACCCCTAATAATAATAATAATAATAATAATAACAATAATAATAATAAGGGGTGTGCACTAGCCGGTTTAAACCGGAAAATCGGACCGAACCGGACCGGAAAAACCGGAACTGGATCAAACCAGAATGATATCCGGTCCGATTCGGTAGGGTCCGGTCCGGTTTTGAATCGGTGCACACCCCTAATAATAATAACAATAATAATAATAATAATAATAATAATAATAATAATTATGGGTGTGCACTATCCGGTTTAAACCGGAAAACCGAACCGGACCGAAAAAACCGGAACCGGATCAAACCGGAATGATATTCGGTCTGGTTCGGTACGGTCCGGTCCGGTTTTGAACCGATGCACACCCATAATAATAATAATAATAATAATAATAATAATAATAATAATAATAAGTGAATAATCTTAGACTCTGTTGTATTGCTTATTTACATAGACTTATTATAACAAAAACAAATAAGCAATACAACATTAAAATGACAAACCAACGATTAAAATGTTACTAAAAATAATTCAAATAGGTGATGTTTATGATTGGACAATTCATATATAATTGGAAAAATTGATCGTAATAATCCCAACTATTGGCGGTCCGCTTATAATAATCTCAACTATCAATTATCTCTGAATAATCCCAACTTTAGTGACCTTCCGCCAATAATGGTCCATGACCAGATATGACCTGCTATAACAAGTGAATTTTAAATAGAAATAAAGCGTAAAAATTAAAAGTTGAATTATTTATAGGGATTACTTGTTATATCTCTTCTCATCCGGTTTAGAAATTATAGG